TCTTGTCCTGGACTTTCCCTTGTATAATCAATTGAAGTAGGTTGTATCTCTCATTACGCATAACATGCAACAGGTATTGCAGCTTTCGTGTCTTGACGGTTTCCAATACTTCCATTCTTTTGTTGATTCTTCTCATGACTTTTTTGTTGTTTGTCACATGCTCGGTCCATGATATCTTCAGGATTCTTCTATACACCCACATTTCAAATGCTTCCAACTTTTTACAGTCGACGCGTTAAGTGTCCATGCTTCCATCCCATAAAGCAGAGTCGAGAAAATACAACACCTTGCCAGCCTAACTCTCAAGTCCAATTTTAGTTCTCTTGCACAAAGTACCTTTCTCATTTTATTGAAGTTTGTACGTCCTTTCTCTATTCGAACTTTGATTTCTTTGGAGTAATCGTTTGTGTGATTAATTATTGTGCCAAGATAGTGGTAGTTTTCAACTTGTTCTAAAGCACTAAGTACCGTTAATTGTCAGGCTTTCACCATTATTTTGGGTTTTTGATATCCTCATAAATTTGGTTTTCTTGGTGTTTTTTGATAATTCATATTCTTCTCCATACTCAACTATCTTGTTCATTAGCTTTTGGAGGTCTTGGAGGTTGTCTGCTATTATGATAGTATCGTAAATCGTAATATAAAACAAGTTTTAGAAATCAATTGTCGAGTAGCAGGTATACAGATGAAGCGGGGCGCGCGGTGTTGTATACAAATTAGTTTTAGCACACGTGCATACCGTTATAAATAAAACTGTAACGTCGTTTCTATTTTGAATTTCTTAAAAATATTTTAGGACAGTATTTCTATGATACTAAGGAATGTCTTTACGAAAACAAAACCCGATTTTTGGAAAATTTAGAAAGTAGGTATAAGTCACAAAGTATTGTGTCAGAAAGTGGCAAAAACATGGACGTATAAACAAAGATGTTTTGTTGTCTGTGTTTATACGTCCATGGGCAAAAATTACCGTATTTATTAAATTTTAAAAGACTGTTTATAAATATTCAAAGTTTTGTGAAAGTTTTTATTATAGAGCCCCTATTAATTTTTCTTATATTGCTTACATTGTAGATATTTTGGAGCCCATACCTATATATGAAGAAAAGGTTTCGGACTATATACAGAATCGTATAGCTTCTTTATTAATGGAAGGCTTAGTAAATGTGGTTAAAAACAAACCAGTTGATCCTGTTCTCTATTTAGCGGAATGGCTTCTGCTAAATAATCCATACCAACCGAAGTTTCCCGAAAAAATAGCTCTCAGTCCTCTTTAACCTCATCAATAGGTATAGAATAAATTTTTATACAGTACTTATTCTAAGTTTATTTTTACCTATTTTTTAAATATATTTGTATTGATTTTAAGCGATTGGTTGAACAGTTTATGTTGTTGTAAACATACGTTATTATTGGCCAGAAAGAGTCTATTCCTCCTCATTTTGGTCATACAACTCTGTAGTAAGTCTTTTATATTATCTAATATGCAGCTATTTATATCCGTTTATATAAACCTGTCATATGCCCTTCTTCCCCATCCTGATACGTTTATCATTCTGTTAGGTGGTCGTCCATCCTGTTATGTGTATTAAACTGTCTTTTGCTTTTCTATATCATTTTTTGTAGTACCTTTTGTATATCTTCATTTCTTCTGTCACACTAACCGTAGATACTGTCTTTAACAGGGACTGCCTTTTTCTTTGGCGGTATCTCATTATTGGTTGCTTATTGGGGAAATCGGTCGTATTCGTAACAGATCATCGGTAGCTGTCTTGGTCCGCTGCTGAAGATAGGCCTCCCGTATCCACTCCATTGATCTCTGTTCCACTTGTAGTTCCAATTCTCATCCAGATAATTATACGTATAAACTGTTACGTTGTAAAAATTCAACCATCTAAATAAAATATTATTTCTGTCAATAAGATTACTCCACTCTCCCATAATATGCAACAGTCATTGTAGTAAACAGATTGTTGTGCCCCAATTTGCCTATTCGTGTTATTTTGGTAGTAGCTTTTTTTAATCTGACAAGGATTGTTTTGCAGTACGTCATCTTGACAGTTGTTTTTGGTTTATAATGAAAAGTGAAACATAAGTTATCAGGTCATTGGTTCTGTAATATACATCACACTCGTTAAGGATATCGGCCTGAACTTATGTGTTGAACTTGGGAAGAGTGGAGTGTTGCTGTAGGCATATTTTGTGTGATTGCTAAGTTCATGCCGTATTTTACGGGACATATTTCCACGCCACCATTCTACAGACTAATGATTCCTGAAGCCACGGTAAAGGAATAGAACATGAGGTATGTGTAATATATTTTCTTTTATACTACAAGCCTCTTGTTGATATACAAGCATATCTTTGTGTATTCTGAGAATAATACTCTTTTTAGTGTAATTTGTAGGCCTTAAACAAATCACCTACGATAAAGGTAGCCAGTATTTACTGGTGATAAATACGCTGTAGAAAAGAAAAGATATTGGAAACTGTAATCTAATTAAAACCCTTCTGACCAAAGGTTAGTACGTGATCATATTGTAGTTTCATTTTTTTGTTTATTTGTAGTTGCTATAACAATTAAATTATGCGTTGCTATAGAAACTGAATTATGTGCCTTACGTAGTTTTGATTTTTGTCGCTATAGTACTCTCATGATTTTAGGACCTCTTGTTCATATATGACATTTCCTGGTTTACATTTTGACTATTACATATTATATTCGTTCCTGTCTTAAACTTTTTTTATTCTATGGTATTAGTTATTTCTTTAATGTTTAAGTTACTTATGTCTTTGCAAACAACTTTTGAAATAGTTTTGTTTAAATTCCTTATCTCTTCTGTTCGTTTTGTGCTTACCTTTCATTTTCCTCCTTTTTGTATTAAGTTTCTTGTGTCTTCTGTGACTTTTTATTTTTCCTTATTTGCTTGCCTTGGCATTTCTTCTGTGCCTTCGTTGGTACGTCCAATAATGTTTCGTTAAGCTGTTCAATACCGATTTCATCTTGAACGCCTTTCTGTAGGTTATTCTCTATTTCTTTCTACTTATGATCTTGTGTTAGTAATCGCAGTGAATATAACATTGTTAGTCCCTGCTACCATATTAATTTTCCTTCTTTACGTTCAGGACTATTTGTGATTTAACCATTATATGGCCACTTCCGGTTAAAACTGATTTAATACAGCTACGTCTTAAACAGTATCTTTTTTGTTAGTAATTATATAGTCAACTACATTCTTGTTTAAGCCTTTTGACTGCCAAATCCACTTTATTTGGGAACTAAAATAAGTGTGCCTGCCATATAGCATGTAACAAATTCTATAAGAGTTTCTAACTTCATGTCCGTTAGATCCAACTATAAACTCCGAATCATCCTGCTTGTAGCCTGTTTTTATCATTTAGGTCACCTATAGTTGGTGTTTACCTCTTGTACCGCACTGTTAACATCGGAACCAATAAATTCTTCGTCTATATGGACACTTATATTTGCGTATGCCTGGATGATCTTCAACCGGATCTGTTCATTTGTAGATAATCACCGTTATAAGACTCTCTACAATGCAATAAGTGTCCCGACGAAAGCATCATTTGTTCTTTACCATTTCGCTGTACTTCCGATAAACCAAGCATATTCCATTTTATATGTTTCAGCTCGTTTTCAAGCTCTACAAGTTTTCCATCCTCCATGAACGTTCTTGTGTTATATGTTGTCATAAGCCATATTCTTTGCAGTTGTCGTTTGTGAAGGTAGACTGGTCGACTCCGGGGATTCTTAGCACCCTTTGTCCCTCTCCCTCCGAGACTGCTACTATAGACTGGTTACAAAGGACAGCCGAAGACCGAGGGAGGGGGTTGCATATTCTTTGTTTCTCGTTTTACGGGGTTTCCTGGCAGATAACTATTTACAAAAGAGGGTTGCTAGCAATCGTCATACTTATAGGATTAGGAACTCGAAGGTACCATATGTAGTAATATATATCTGTTTTCTACTTTTTCAACGCCAAGTATTTTGAAAATTGTTGCTAGCCTACTTGTTTATAATTGATAGATAGATACATGTATGCTGTCATTTTACTTGTAATTCTTATAAATGTCTACAACCGTTGGAATTTTAAAGCTATTCAAAAAATGTTTAACAGTTATTTTTTATATTTTTAAGAGTTTTTCTTATAATTATTTTTTTCTTGTTTCCAATTTTTAATTGATCAGTTTTCAATTGACCGTTTTTGTCTACATAATAAAAAAATTTACATTTTATATTAAAATATAAATTATCGATTATATAATTATTGCTATTGAAGGTTTTTCCTTTCTCAACTACATTTATTAATAAAATAATAAGTATTTTAATAAGAATTAAGTGAAAAGATTTCTAATTAATATTCGCGTCTGTTCGCTATCCCCTGCTGTTTATTCAACTAACTATTGTTGGAGTCCGAATGCAGTGGTGACTACACCTTTCGTCGATTGTCACATATAAAAATAGGTTTCTCAATGACATGTTCATCCTATGTGATTAATTCACGGCTTTCTGATATTTTTTAGCTTATCTGCTATCCTAAAATGGTACCTTCTAATTTTTTACTAGATTTTTTGGACTATTTGGATCTTTTTAGGAAAAATACTGCCAAATTTGGGCGACCAGGGCATTTATGTCCTGTGTGTGAACGACCCCATTAAAAGCCAGTACGCATACAACCAATTAACCGTTAATTTCGACAGAACAGATTTAAAATAACATCTTATCAAGCCATTACTTTGCTTGATTTTTTCCATTGGGCAGTTCTGTATTATCCACAGAAAATTTAGATTTTTTTGTTTTTATAATTACAAACAGCGTCACTTAAACCACTGTATCTTGAAAACAATGAAGACATTGAGTTAAATTTTGATAGGTGATTTTTGAATGTCGTCACTTTCTATAGCATATGGTCATCTGATATTAACGGCAGCATCTAGTTCGGTACAAAATTTATTTAAATAAATAAAACAACAATGCTACAAATGAAATTTTATTAGATTCCAAATTATCCAGCGGTATCACAGAATCCAGTCAAGTAACAAAATAATCTCCCAAGTAATACAACTGTCTACTAAAGATATTTCCTAAATAACTACATATTTCCATATTTTTATTTTAAAGTACTTAAGATTAAGTTTACAAATAAATCTACTTTGGTAATTTATGACACAAAATAATTTTGCCTGAAACAGAAAAGACATTATTTAACTACAGAAAAATTTATTAATTATGTGTTGCAAATAAACTTCTTTTTATTAAAAGAGATTACGTTTTTGTTTCGTTGTAAGAAAACATATTTCTTTCCCAAAAATAATTCTTACCTAATATTTAAATGTATTTAATAATTTAAGTATGTATTTTATTTAAAGAAAATTAATTATAACATATTGAAACAACACATTTCATGAAAAATACAATAGTTGATTCAAGATATATTCATTCATTAAAAAGTATCAAAACGTTACATTGCACGTTAAACAACTAGAACGCAATGAAAAAAGAATTAACATCGATGGTTGCTTTTTAAACTGTCCCAGATTAGCCGACGACATTGTGATAGTAGACAGTAGAAGTAATGCTTGAACAGTTGAAAATCAAAAGGCTGAAAATATTGAAAATTAACGGGACATGCAAAACGGACTATGAGCGAAGAGGCTACTAGGAACCAATAGTCCATGAGTATGTCTATTATTTAAAATATATCATGGAATTAAGCAACACACTGCACACATTTAAGAATAAAGTGATCCCTGTTAGTTTGAAAGTATACATATAACACATTTTTTTTGTTTGTTTTAGACACAACATCTACAGAAACCAATAAAATCAATACAAGAACTCTATATAAACAAATATATGAAATTTTACTTAAAGACTGATTTATAAACGTTGGCGTTGGCGCTGACGTTCGCGTTACAACATGGTCAAATATGAAACTCGTATGTCTATTTATAAATATCGTTCGCCGTTGGCGTTCGGTTCCGTTCAAATGAACCAACTTTATCTTTTGCCGTTGGCCGTTGTAGCACAGAATACACCAACCCTTCTGTGATTGTAGTTATGATCACAGAACATAAAAAAACTGTATCTTTGTGATCGCAGCCAATAGCAATACCGAAAAAGTGACAAGGTTTGTCAAACAAATCAAACTAAATTATTTGTTTATGTTTGTGTTTCCACGTGTTTATGAAGTGGAAGAGTCTGGATAATAACAAGCCTCTCGAACAGAAATTCCGTCAGAGCGATAGTTTACATTTATTTTTGGTTTTACCATTTGCAGTAATTTTTCAGATACTGGAACCTACATCCTGATATTTTTAAAAAACTGCTGGGTATCCCAGTTTTTCATATTTTTATAATAATTAAAATTACCTCTTGCCTTTCTGTTCTGGTTAATGGGCCTCCGTTTGTATCGATGTTGTCTTTTATTTCGCAGGCTCAGTGCTGCTCGAATACAAAGTGCCACTGCATCTAACAAAAGCCGAGCATTTTCATTTTCCATTGTATTAATTTTCAAGCAAAAATTAATATTACCAAATCAAAAATGTAATATTAGAAATTTAGATGTGATCTTTAACGCCAACGCCAACCGAAAGTTTATAAATGCAGTCTATGATAACTAGAGCAAAGGGCAACGACGAACGCCAGCGCCAACGTAAAGTTTATAAATCAGCCTTAAAAGTAAAAAAACTAGATGGAGCACCAGGAATAAAATAAAATGCCTTACGAAGCAGTCTACTTTTAGAAGAAACAACGAAAAAATTACATCTATAAATGCCCACGGTGAATCCAAAATTTTATGTCATACTTTTTATCGTATTCATAATTTTAATATTTTTAAAAATTCAGAAAATGTATCATAGTAGAGTAAGCAATACCGTCGTTAGGATAATAACGTATGGTCCTAAAGTTTTGGGAAAAATTTCACCTGATCTGATTGAGAAGCAAAATACATTTAACAAAGAAGGCCATGGAATTGAAATGTCATCAGTTATTGACATTTCTTAAACAAAAATATTTTGGTTTGTTCTCTGCAAAATGTCTTTTGAAATTGATATTCGTCGAGGTGTTTATAATATGGTTGGGCGAATGTCGAAACGAGATATTGTTAATATTTATCAAGATCAAAACATAAGAAAATCGACAATTTATCGCACAATCAGAGAATATGAAGAAGGTATACCATGTGTTAACTTGCGTAAAAGTGGCCGACCGCGAATTTTGAACCATATAAGAGAGGCAAGACTGATTGAAGCAGCTAAGAACAAAATTGGGGTCTCACAGCGAAAACTGGCCAGAAGATTTCATGTTGAAAAGAATGAAAGCTCCAAAATATACAGAGGATCGATTAGAGAGAATTCCGAGATGTTGATCAAGTTGATCGTGATGGACGATGAAAAATATTTTACTTTGTCCAACTCTGAGATGAAGGGTAACGATGGGTTTTACATCAACGATTACGAAAATCTACCTGATGAAATAAAATTCAAAAGTAAGAAAAAGTTTGAGGAGGAAATTTTGGTATGGTGTGCAATTTCTGAGGCTGGCTTTATCTCACAGCCCTACATTCGCGTTGTTTGAGACGAAGCCTTAAACGCAAATATTTATGTTCAAAGATGTCTCGCTAAATTGCTTCAGTTTGTGAACACACATCATGCAAATGATCAAATAGTCTTTGGCCAGATCTTGCTTCATACAATTACGCGAGGATCACAAGGGACTGGTACGAAACTAACAACATTACCTTTGTACCGAAAGCAGACAATCCCCTCAACCTACCTCAGGCTCGTGCAATTGAAGAGTTCTGGGCAATATTAAGTCAGAAAGTCTATAATAACGGATAAAAAGCACAAAATCAGGAACAGTTAAGACGCCGCATATATACAAAAATTAGAGAAATTGACGCCGAGGTCGTCCATAGGATGATGCAACGTGTCAGGGGAATTATTAGGCAAATCGAAAATAATGGTCCCTTGTCTGTCATTTGAATTTTGATTTATAATAAGGATAGTTAATTTAAATTGTTGAATAATTTAATAAAAATATAAGATTATTGTGGTCTGAGTTATATCCTTTTGAAATGTTTCTCAAAACTTTAGGACCGTACGTTAATGTCATATATGGTCATAAATGAACATCTGCGGCTGTGAAAACTAAAAAAGTTCAAATGTCAAATCTATTTATCACCGGATCTTCCCAAATTGTCAGTTTTTTGTGAATTCTTCAGAGACAACTGGCAATTTTTCTTGTAACTTTAATAATAAATGTTATTGAGAAGTTATCAAATATTTTAAAGTGTACTTTATGGCCACACGGGCATAAAGTATACTATTATGTATGTAGTTGGTATCTAAGTCATAAAAACAATAAAGAACTAGTATGACATACACATTTTTGTGTCTCCGATTTTAAAAAATTAAAAAAAAAATTAATTTTAATTGTGTGCTCTTTAAACTTAAATTCATTTAAAAATTTATTTTTAATGAAACATCCTGTATATTTTTAAAAGCTCCTTATGAAAAAGATCTCAACGAACTATTTTATGTAGGGTATATTATTAATAATACAAGGTGAAATTTTGAAACTAGTAATTTATCATGAATTGTTATTTTTTAAAGTATACCATTTTTCAAAGTAAAACAGTTGCACGTCACGATTTATACAAAGTGACGTCACTTGTATTTAAAATTTCCAGAACGTCAACCTTAGAGTTCAAATGTTCCTAACACAGCTAATAATACGAGACCCATACGGAACTGCTCGATCTTTCATAGACGTCAATATGGTGTAATAATCAGAAAAGGGTTATCATCATTATATTGGAAATTTTAGAATTATATTGATTAAATACCCAAAAACATTTGCTATTATTATTAATATAAATTTTATGAAATAATTCTTCCAAGTCTAATATTCCACAAAACAATAATTTTAATTAAATAGATTAGACAATGTACGCAACTGATACCGGAATACTTCAAATTTTACTGACAGTTCAGCGAGTGGCAAAATTGTATAAAGTGTTGCCGCTTTTTTAGAGTAAGAATTTTGTTCATGTTTTGATTTCTTACACAATTTGATCGTAATATAATATATATCAATAAATTGTATTTATAAATACATATTAAATTTATATTTAAAAACTGCACATTTGAATTTACAAGTTAACTTTACTTTAACTTTAAAATAGTAAATTTACAAGGGTATCATTTTTTTTTATTTTCTAAAATATGGATACAAACAATCCATAAGTGGTTTCCATACTGTATAATTTCAAAACTGCGCCCTGTATTATTCATAATAGATCATGCATGATATAGTTCGTTAAGATCAGGTTGTTAAGGAGCTTTTAAAATCATAAGAATATACAGAGTATCTATTTTTTTAAAAAGCGCACATTTATATTTAAAAGTTAACGGGACTCAACGTTTTTTATAATTATCTAAAATAACGATAAACAATTTTATTCCATAAGTATTTTCCACACTCTAAAAATTATGGAAAAGGAGAGAAGCGGTGGAATCACTAACTACGATAATAGCAGCATAATTATGTCGAAGAAAGCAAAACTTCAATTCCATAAAACAGAATTATGAGGAACGAAGATATATACGAGTGAAACATTGATAATAAGTAATTTGAGATACCAAAGTCATAGCATTATTTATTTTGAAAATCGTTACAATCATTTAAATTGATATTAGACTCTTACCTTGCATAACATGTAACACTAATTTATTAAAGTATCTATAACTTTAATCTATCACAACTTCCCCAAGTGAAGATTTGCAATATCCCACTTTTCGGCACACAGTTTTACCACCCTGGTGGACGATCAAGTCGATCATTTCTTCACCGTAAGCGTCTACTATTTTGACACACTAAAAAAAAGTATACATAAATAAACTATACAATTATAAACTATACAGTATTCAACTATATATTAGGATTTAGGATTAGTATTTACATTGCTTAAATTTGATGCAATTTGTATTGTACAGTGCAAGGGTAACAAAATCCAAACAGTTTGAAAACTGACTATTCCAGAGTTATTATAAATGAAGTGTTCTAAGAAATAACAACGCGTTTTCAACAAGCAATATGTAATAAAAGAACTGTGCCTATCTGCCTTTTTTTGTAAAAAAAATTAAATTAAATATTTTTTTATAAACGTGACAAAAAGTAAAAGCGAAAAACTTAAAATCTTTTTTATTTACTGTCCCAAATTGAGCCTACATGATTAGTGACCCGTTGCCCTGCACGCAGCACACGGTGGATGGTATGAGCTTATTGCCTCGTTTAAATTGATAAAACTTATATAATACAACATTAATTTACTTGCAAATTATTTTTAACATTTCCTAGGAATAGTCTGGATAGTCTAACCATTTTTCAAAATATTAAATCACTTGGAACTTCAGTTGGCGCGACATATATATATATATATATATATATATATATATATATATATATATATATATATATATATATATATATATATATATATATATACAAAACATGGGAATATATGCTTTAGAAACTTTGACAAAAATTTTTAAAATTTATTTATCTAAATAATTAAATTTTGTATGAATTTTAGGACACCCCATATTTACTCTGAAATTACTTACTTGTGATCTGTATTGAGCAGGAAGGCCTCTGCAAGTTTTTTCAATTACATGAGTAATCTCGTGATCTATGTTTGGATTGGACAAAATCTTTTCCATCACTTCCACGGCCATTTCGCAAACAGGACACTCCAAAATTTGAACTAAAAATATAAATAACTAAATAAATAGAAATAACTAATGTGTAATAAAATAAAAATTCAAAGACTCTGGTTAAACTCGATTAGGTCGTGTCAACTAATAACTGCAAAAAGACGAAATACGTTATTGAAAAGGTGATATCGTGAGTTTAAATGTGGATAGTCGTGTACTAATGAATGTGCAAAACAAATCCATACTACGCAAGAAAATGTTAAAAAGGTTCATGATTATTAGAAAAAGAATTGGGATACTGTGCATTATATCAATTACTGCTGAATTGGACATAAAAAAATTGTCTGTAAGATTACTACGAATGTAAAAGCATGGAAACAAGCAAAGTATATTTATAATCGTCTTTTAACGTGGTACAGACAAGAAATTTCCTTGTAAGATTAGTGATAATGGATGAGTCCTGAATCAATCATTATGATGTACAAACCAAAAATCCAAAGTAAGTAGTGGACAAATAGGGCACCGAAAAAAATAAAGATGCAACATTCTACGGGAAATGGTATACTAACCGCATTTTTTCCGGTAATTTTAGTAAATTTCCTCCAAAACAGAATCATAATTACATGTGTTTATTATGGCAATTTAATTCCAAAATAACTTAACTCCATAAAAGAAAAACGTATGAAGAGGTACATATTTGGCCCTCAGCGATTACCAACTGTGCGCAAAACTTAAAGAACACTTGCGTAGTATAGATTTTCTTCTGATATTGATGTCATATATGTGGTAAATCAGTGGTTTATACATATCGAAGAGGCTTTCTTTATTAGAAATGACATAACACAAATAGAAGAAATTAATCTTAACAGACACTATATAGAAAAATAAAAGTGAGATATTTTTTAATTAAAGTGTGTCGAGAGTGGAGCAAAAAAATCAATAGTACAATCAATCAGTAAGACTATTAGTATCATAAAAACTAACTGGAATGAACAAGGTTTTCACAAACTAGGTGCATCCAAGCTATTGATATAATATGCCCCGATTGTCTCAACAAATGAGATGACTCCACCCAGTTATTGTCAACGTAAATATCTCTCTTCAATCACAACAAACTGTTATCCATTTACTTCGCCAATCCAGTTCCCCATGTCAAAAATTTTCGCCTCTTCCCATCCGGTTGGGAGTGGTGAAAAACAGCAGTGTAGTTTGTAGTGCTAGTAAGTGTAATATAAATGATATGAGGACTAAGAGACAAACAAGAAATACCGTCTATTAAAGTTTCAGAGAGTAAGTCGAAAGCTCTGGATGCAGGCAAATTAGAAGCTGTACAATTAGGAAACTGAATAAGTTTAGTATTAATTTTATAATAATATTAACCTCGGTTATAATTTTGATAAGCGAATTATCTGCAATAGATTCTTTAGTATATGTCATTTAGACCGATATTTCTAGATGAAAAAATATTAACATGCTTTATAATAATAACACTGGTATACATAGATAATCAGCTCTTAATCTCAATAAAGTCAGGATAATGTTAACAAATAAACCCAAATAAAATCTTCCCCACCATTCCTGACGCCAATTGTCAGTAAACAACAGCGTGCAAAGACTACTGGACGTCACTGAACCATTTCAGCGTACATTTATATACCAAACGAGTTTTTGTCTTTTAATCAAAAATGCTTATATAGCTATTGAATTGGGGCCCAAATTTTTGTTAGTTTGACTTTGATCCTCTAATCTAACCCATTTTTTTTCGCTTGTTAGTAATGAGTAGAACTCAGTATAACATACTGGCTTGTTTACTAAAACATATTACAATGATACCTACATTAAAGTAAATACTCTATGATGTTTATTAAATAAAACTAAACACAAATTAGGGAAACTTCAAAATATTTTTAAATACTTTTTATTTACCTTTAATCATGTCCATTTGTGATCCTTCGCACAATTTTATGTACGAACATATTTTCGATGGTTCAAGAGCAGCAATCAATAATTGAATGACAGTGTCTGCATATTGATCAACAAACTTGTTACAATCTTGTTTTACGGATGATGGCATAATCTTGCAAATACCTTTAACTACAGTTTCAATTTCAGCCTAAAAAAAATAATACAAAAACTTACTACGAATTCAGAATGAACCGGACCATCATCAGTGAAAAAGGTCTATACAGTAGTTAAAACTAGCCACATATCGAGATCAGAAATAGTTTAACTATTAATTTGGTTTGCAAATAAAATGTATTTTAGGTAGAGAGAAGTAAGAATAAGACTTACAATTAAAAAAAAACAACAGTTGTTATCAACAGGTCCTCGTAGGCACTTCGTCTCAGGACCATTTTACTCATGTAGAGTCATACGCCGCCATGTTACCTATCCAACGGTAACTTAACCATCACAAATTAGAAATACTAATAATGTAAAACAATTTCAAATTTATAACATTTAAAGGGTTTTTACCCATATATTTTGGTGGCTACTAGCATGTACAACCGTTTGCACTGATGATGGATTGTTTAATCCGAAAACGTTTTGCAATGTGTTTGTGATAGCCCGTTTGAGGCATTTTTATATACCTTTTATAAAGGATTTTAACAAAATTTTTTTGTGATATATGGTATACAGCCAGCTACAGGAACTTAGTTTCCTCGTGGAACTTACAATTAATTTATTCTAATTAGCCAGTTCCTCCATCACACAAGTAATGTAGTGCACAACCTACCCCCCTTTTTAAATGAAATGTCTATTTTGTCTTTTGACTGTGTTCTGTTTGTCCATTAAATGTTTTTAATTTTTTAATGTTCTTAGAAATTTATTTCTATTTTGACTATCTGACATCACTAATAAGACAATTGAAGATCAATTGCATATCCAAACTAACATAACAAAAACATTGATCTTATTCTACCTTGTTACAGTGCTGTCTGTTGAAGATTATTAATTTAAGTAAATAACACACATTTTACATTAATAACTACATTCCTATCCTAGTTGTTAATATCACTCTTCCCTTCAAGAACTTTCCCATTATACGTTACATAATTGCAGTCAAATCGATGATCGCCTGTCACCAGATTACCATAACGAATTTTTAAACTATGTTTTCTCAATATTTAATAATAATCCTTGTATCTACATCATTTAGTTTGCAATGTACTGTTGACCTGAGGATGCATAGAAAATTATAGTATGTGAAACCAGTCGTCGATGGTAGAATAAATTGATTGTGATTATCTCGAAAACTATTGAGTTTTAAAGTTATTAACAGGTACATTTTTTTTTAAATACTTAATATATTTTTACACAAATAGCGCTAACTTGAAGAGCAAAAAGTTAAGCGCAGATTTATGCCATATACCTCGTGATCAGCTACATCAAAGTATGCATCAAACTATAATCAAAAGCCCCAACTTATAATTTTTTATACATAAATGTCCACAAACATGAAAGTGATAGAGAAAAAATCAATTTTAAATGTCAAATTTCAACACCCAGTATCTTTCGTAATATCAACATTTTATTAAAGCAAGTTGGCTTAAATCGTAATATTTTCAAGTGTAGAATCTACTTATTATTTTTGTATAATTACTTAAGAACCACGCTATATATTACTAACTTAAATGTATTAATTTATTTCGTATGAATTGTATGATGTCGTGAGTGGAAAGAACCAACGCGAAAGAATTGTGCTTGTGTACAATTCACTAGTAACACTGAAACGTATGTTCTTAAATGTTGCAACAATAAAAAAATATTTACTTACATCAGTCGACTTATCTTTCAATTGATCTTCTATTTCCTTCATCACAAATTCGCATAATATACACTCTGGTTTGGATCCAACAGAACCAGTATGGACCTTATCCTTAATGACTATTTGACCATTGACAGTATTGTCTGGTATAACGTTGGTTTCTAAAAAAAATATATGACATAATGGATGGATACTGATAATATAAGAGGTTTCTATAAAAAGTCAAAAATCCACTTACCAATATTACCACCTATTTGCCTGACTACATATGGTGGTAAGGGATTAGCTGGTCTATTATCAGTGCATAGATGTAATGCCACACACACTTCTTCAGGAGTCAAATCGGCGAGTAACATTTCGACGATATGATCTGTGTATTTCTCAACAAATGTTTCGCATTGGTTGTCGATGGTTTGTGGAAGAACCTTGCACAATTTTTCAAGCGCAGCCTTGATTTGAGCCTATAAAAAAATCGAAAGATTTATACATATGATTATACATTGGTCGTCCAGCAAGTAAAAACGTTTTGGCATAAAAAATAATTAAAAACAAAAGATATCAACACAAAACTATATCTACGAAGTCACAATACCTTACAAGTCTGCAAAAGTAAATAGGGCGCTTTATAAGATATAAAAATGAAACTAGAACCGAAAACACTAGAAACTATCACAAATGAAGAAGTTAATACAAATACATAAGACGTTCGAAAAAGCCGAAGAACAGACGCAGGTAAAGGCGGAATACCAAATTACTGAAATATTGTGGAGCAGCAATGACAGAACAATTTCTTCTTTGTAGTGCCTATCATGGCAATCTGTAGTTTGTATTTGAACAGAACAATTAACAACATTAATTACCAAAAATAAAAACACAATAAAATACTGTAAAAATGAAGAACTAGAGAAGTAATTCTACTATTCAAAAAAGGAGATAGATGGCCAGACCAATAATGACATACGCGGCAAAAACAAGATCTGATACAGAGAGGACAAAAAGGATGTTAGAAACAGCAGAGATGAAAACACTTAAAAATTGATGCTAAGATACTATGGGACAGAGCTAGAAGTATAGATATACGACGTAGATGCAAGGTGGAGAACATTAAGAACTGGGTAAAAATAGAAGAGTGGAATGGAACGATCATATATGCCGAATGACAACAAATAGAGTAGTAAAGACGGCAAGAGACGGTTCCCCAATAGGAAGACCATGAAAACGATGGAACGACAACTTACTGGAGGCATATTGAAAAAAAGAGTCATGTCTATATAAAAAGAAGAAAAAAAAGTTGACCATCCAGAATAAATGGACAACTTACAGAACATAGAGACAAAGACAGCGGAATAAGACAGGGGTAGTAATTGAGCCCTATGCTCTTGAATTTAATCATGAATGAAATCATCATAAGTGTTAACAAAGAAAGAAGATACAGAATGAGAAACACAGAAGTACAAATACTCTGTTAAGCAGAAGACGCAATATTAATATCCCAAGATGAAGATAGTATGCAAAAACTAGTCCACAGATTTAACATAAGGGCAAAAGAATTTAATATGACAATCTCAGCTCAGAAAACTAAAACAATAGTAATCAGCAAAGAACTGATCAGACGTAAAATAGAAATCGATGGCATCTTGGAATACCTTGGAATTGCACTGTCTACTTCTGTAGACCTTGACAAAGAAGTGAGAGATCAAGTACAAAAACCAAATACACTGGCAGTATGCTTTAATAATACTATATTATAGCGACATACTAATACACATGAAGTCAATAATTTATAAAGCCAGTGTAAGTCCAATAATGACATATGCACCAGGAACAAGACCCACACAGACACAACATAAAGATTACTGGAGACAGCAGAGATGAGAGTACTGAAAAGAATAAAAGGAAATACGCTGAGAGATCGAAACCGATGTTTATCGGTAGAACACAAAACATTCACAAAACGCGTTCTAACTTTTACAAAAACAGAAAAATGAATAATTAGAATTTAACGTGCTTAAATCTTTCCTTCTTTTGGGTTTTATATCTTTTTTAGTTTGAGTTGGAATTTAGCAATATGAGGTTGTATCCGCTCCGGGATATGCCTTTACTGCTTCGCATTACGATAGAGAAGTGAATGAGTGAAAAAGAAGTAAAAACAGAAGAAAATGTAATGTACAGTGTATAAACGAATGGACACTAAACAGAAAAAAGAATCTAAGTAGAATGGGGAAGACCCGTGTGGTCAAAATAGTAAGAGATAAATAAATCACCAATCGCTAGAAGAATTATCGGATGACCGCACCAAACATGGCGGTATCAATTCGCCACTGAACAAGCAGAATTGTTTATAAAGAGGAAGGAGACAATCCATCTCTTTCTTCACGGGATCTCCAGCCCGACAATGTTAGTCCATTTATCACATCTGTTCTACTTGTCTTGCAAATATTCATTTTAGCTTTGATTTTTTCTATATCTTCTATTTCCGTTCTTCTGCGAATCTCTTCGTTTTTAACAGACTCTGTGAGTTTAATTCCTAATATTGATATTTTTTTTATATTTCTCTGTGCGATTCTAAGTTTACTACCATACCATACCATATTATACCATATCATACCATATTATAAAAAGTGGAAGTATGCATTCACTGCGTGCGTGAAATCTTCAGAGTGATTTCACTACAGAACGTGTCCTTCATTGTATAATCTCCTCTTTGGTGTTGTTTTCTAATTTTATTGTTCCTCCGATAACCAAGATTTTCATAAAATTCATAACATGTTTTACTTTATTTGGAATCCCCTTTTCTTTGGTTGCATGTGAAAGTTCATTAAGCATTACTTCGGCTTTGTGTAAATCATCGGCAATGAGGACAATAACGTCGGCAAATCTAAGGTTTTTGTTTGAAGATTTTCCGTCGGTATTTATCCCGGTCTTGTACCAATTAAGATTTTTGAAAACATACTCCAGAACTGCTGTGAAGACCTTGGGTGACTCTTTGTCTAACATCTCTCTCCAATGGGAATTAGTTAGTTTGTTCATGGAGTTGCACATTTGCTTTTGATTTTTTATAGATGTTATAAATTAAGCTGGTGTATATGTATACGACATTGGTCTCTCTTTGGGCTCTCAAGACACTGGACACACCTCTCGCTTTCAATAACAAGTAAATGTAGAAGATGTGAGGTTTCATAAAAATCCTTAGCCCAGCATCTTTTCTGACGGAATTCCAAGGAAAAATGAACTCATGAGAGTTAAAGTACGAAGGGATTAATTATGACGATCTCGTTTAGGCTTTCGACTTTTCAAGGGTTCCCACACGTGCTATAATATAAACAAGTTATTGGGCACGGCTCTTGGATCCAGCTTTTTTGGCTATGCAGTTTTGTTACCTGCCATTTTTAGGAGATGCAGCTTCTAGAGTGTCGATGTTCTCATCAGGAAGTTCGTTGCATGCTAACTTAAAGAAGCTTACATGGCGGAAATGCAGTTTTTTGTTTAAGAAACTCTAGTGAGTACTTGCCCTCGGTGGTAGGGCGTCCTAATAACATATTTCTTGGATGTTTGAGTACTTGATGGTTTTTAGGACGTATCTTTGCCGTGTGTTTTAACACCGCATAGAGGCTCGCTTTATCCTCGACATAGTATGGTCTTATGTACGTTTTGTAAGTATGAAGAATAGTAATCTTAGTGCTTCTAGGAGACTGACACTTCTCGCCCTGTATATTGTAAAGGTCTCTCAAAAATTCGATGCCCAAATACAACATAGGTGGTCTGAAGGCCTTTCTCTATGAAGTACTATTTGGGTTTCATCCTCGAGAGGAACGTGGGATGAATTAGGATGTTTCTAACAGTATTAGTTGTGTTTTAATGGAGCTTAGTGTGACTCTCCATTTATTGCACTATTTTACAATTAAGTTTAGCAGTGCGATCGGAAGTACCTGCAAATAATAGAGCAGTTTTATCAGTATACAGGAGTATGTTGTTGTATCGACAATTGGTCTGGGGGAAGGTCGCTATTGTATGCTGTGTATAGAATTGCCGCTGATATAGAGGCCTGTGGAACTTCTACTTGCGAGTAATGGATGTTGAGAGTGTGTCAGCAACTTCGACACGAACTATCCAGTCAGGAAAGTAGAAATTTATGATTCTCAGAAATGGAACCGGTAGTCCAAAACATGCAAGTCCTCATAAAGTAACAGCTGTTTAGAATCATGACCAGTTTTTACCGATACTTATGATTAATTTGGTGGATATTCAGAATCGAATTATATATATAATTTTTTTTTTGATTTTGTATGCTGTGAGATTTTTCCCGAAATAAAAATTATCAATATCAATCGTTGTTCTTGATGTACTTTAATTAACATAATCTATATATATATATATATATATATATATATATATATATATATATATATATATATAATGGTAATAGGAAATGAAATCTTACCTCAGACTTGTTATTAGACACCATCTCTTCCAACTTGGTAACAGCAACAAGGCACAAAGGACATTTGGAATCGCTTTTAGCTTCCATAAACACTTCGACACCACTCTTCGAAGAAGGGCAAACTCTTATCATGGGACATACTTGAGAAGGATCGATGGCCTGATCTAACAGAGCAACTAGAGCTGGTTCATACATATCTACAAAGCTGATACAAGTATCGTTGACTGAAATTGGTAGTTCTTTGCAAGCTTTTTCTATTATTAACTTAATTTCATTCTGTAAAGGAATTAATTATTTATAACAGTTATACAGTTACGTGTATATAAATTATGTAATAAGTTGAAAAGTGTAATTAATAAATGATTTATTTTACTTTAACATGAACATAAAAAAGAATGCCTATTGCATATGAAATGTAGAAAGCGAAAATACAAGACCGGCATATTAAGTTAAGAATTGTTACAATTGTAAGCAAACTTTCGACAGCTTTAAAGTATTAGCCGGGCAATATTTTGACTATAATTAAGACTTGTAACAAACCGTACCCTCTAGGATTTTGACGCATCTGGAATGGACCTATGGAAATCTTTGGTTATACACATTTTTTCATAATTTGTACAAAAAAAACCTTTTTTGGGAACGATTTCCGGAGTGGAAATCGAAACGTCAAACATTAGTTAATTAAAAATGTGATTTTCGACACAATAACAACCAACAATTTGTGGCTTAATCTCATAAAAACTAATTATTTAACTTAACCATGCCACAAGAAAGTATTTTTAGAACCTTGCTAATGAAAACTCGTTCCAAAGTATGGGTCACTTGTTCCCTTGATGCTATCGAAAAATTTGTAACAGTCCCCGATAAAAAAATCGACTGGCATTTGGATCAAAACGTTTATTTTATAGAGTTTCTGATGGGTAAAAATTTTTGATGGGACACCGTGTATATATACATTTATATAATATATATATATATATATATATATATATATATATATATATATATAATTTAGAAATTGTCTTGTCTTAGATAATTTTAGTGTTATGTTTTTAAATAATTCTTTGTAATGATATTATTATGCTTTAATGGGGTAATTCTGTAAATTTAATAAATAAAATAAAATAATTATATTAACAAAAACGTAAATATTATACTTACTTCAGTTTTAGGATCTGTAAGTGCGATCTGGACATAATGTAAGAAATATTCACAAAATGCGCAGAGTTCCTTATTGTAAAGAACTTGAGTATGCGGTGGCATCAAAAGATCAATGGGTAATTGTTGTTCCAAGTTAACTTCGGACAATGCACTTGTATCAACTTTTTCCGGTTTGCTTTCAGAAGAAATCTCTAACGCTTTTTCTGCATTATGATTTTCCAAAAGAGGTGCGATGTAAAGGTCTTCCTAAAAAAGAAAACTTACCATAATATTGAATGGTACCAAAAATAGGCTGTGCTAAAAAGTTGATGTTTCGGTATTCATTTTTATGTGTTTTATGTATTTTCACGTTGAAAATTACAGATTTACAGATTGAAGCAATTTTTTTATTATAATAGCTCAAAATTGACATTACAACAATTCTGTTTAATTACCTCTATTAAACATTATTTTTTTACTTATGGGCCTAATTCGAGGTTTGTCTTTTTAGTTTTAAATATAGGCGCTTAGAGGGCACCACCAATGTAACCTCAATCTTTTGTTGACATAAATCGAGTTTCATTGCGATACAATAAGTCGTGTAACTACAGTGAATTTTTGAATTAACAAGTCGGTCGAAAAATAGATCTAGCCGAGAAAATTTTCGAGCAACATTTTTTACAATTTTCGGAGAGGATTATCCCAACAACAATCTCTCGCTGAAATGGTTTCTGTGCTTGGTAATGAAGCATCATACCATTCAACTATTTACCGCTGGTTTTGCGCATTTCAACGTGATCGCTTCAGTCTCGGCGACAAATCCAGACCAGGTCCACATAAAAAAACAGCAGCCACAAAATATTGATGCGGTTCGTCTAATTATAATAATAAAAGCTAATTAAGGATGCCCACCGTAAAACATACTGGTAAACAAAAGCATTTTTGGGAATTTCAAAGACTTTGATCCAAAAGATTCTAGATAAAGAACTGGGTGTTATAAAGTTGGTTTCCCTTTGGATCCCTCAATTGCTCACAGAAGAGCAAAAAACGGTTCGCATCAATTGATGTAGAAAAACATTGGAACGGTTCAACAAAGGAAGCTTAAACAACGGTTATAGTATTGTTAGTGGCGATAAATCTTGGATTTACTCCCACGAACCGGAAAATAAACACCAATCCGCTGTGTGCGTGTCTCACGATGAGGAAAAACCAACAAAAGTGATTCGTTCTTGAAGTGTGTCGTGAAGAAAATGATCGCAACTTCTGTGTCAAACTCTGGTTATATGGCAACAATTGCTTTAGAACATCGAAGAACGGTTACTTCTGATTGGTATATAACCGTTTGTTTTTATCAGAAACTCCAACAAAGCAACACACAAAGGCGAATCATCTACATCAGGACAATGCAAGTGCTCACACTAATAACAGACAATAGTTTTTGGAGTTTCAAAACATCGAATTGTTAAATCATCCACCGTATATACCCGACCTAAATCCCAACGACTTCTTCACGTTCCCAAAGATCAAGACTTCAAAATGCGTGGGCTGCTATATATATATATATATATATATATATATATATATATATATATATATAAGATGCCTTGGCCCGAAAGCTGTTGGCCCGCATAAAACACTGACCGAGGTATTAAAACTGGTAACAACGAAAATATACAATTGATTGTAACACATTTTAATGCGGTGTATAATGTAGCATTTTTATCGCCTAGAATAATTTTTTCATCATTCATTTATACGACACTTTAAAAAGTAAAGTTTGTTTAGAAGACAGAACATGGTTGACTTCAATGAGTGCGGTCGTAAATATTATTGAATTTATCTGACTTGGCCCATTGTTAAGACTTTGTACCTCAGGTAAACCATTGTTACCTGAAACCTGGCTTTTTATACTATTATCGGTTAACTCGGAATGTTTATAATCGGTACTAATTCAAGTCAACCATTTACTGCTAAACAAAGTTTACCTTGTAGTATATAGTTATGATATTTTTAGCGCATTTTGCTTGTAATCAAATTATTAACTTTGTTTCATTTGTTTAGCTTGTCACATCATGTCAAGATCCTCAGCTTTTATTCCGAATAGAAATAATTATCAGCGAAATTCTTATTTCGACCTTATTTATACGGCAGATCTTTTGAAATTTTATGCGACCATAGATCCCTAAAGTGGTTATTTAATTTAAAGGAACCCAACTCCAAATTATTACGTTGGAGATTAAAATTGGAAGAATTTAACTATATTGTAAAATATAAACTCGGTAAAACGAATATTGCCGATTCTTAAGCCGAATGAATATTATTGCAACTGAAACAGAATCAAATATAAATAACCCCGGTGACATAGATTTTGATATCGACCAATTTTTAGCTGAATTTAACCCAGATATAGTTAATGAAAATGTAATAGATGAAGCTTTGCAAATTCTCGATAAAAATGAGGTTACAGAAAACGCACAAGTAAATAAAATAATATCAATAGGAAATAAGAAAACCATTGAGATATATAACTCAGACACAGACACGCTCCATAGTGCTGAATCTTAAAATGAAAATAGGTTCTCATTGTTAGAAGAAAATATTTACAATAAAGCCTATCAACTTACCGTTAAAAGAGCGCCTTTTGCAAATTATCTAAAACGCGAACGTGAGAATTTTGAAGGACATTAAAATATAAGAGCTATTTCGGCTGACCAAGAAAGTGTGATGCAATTCTTAAAAGAAAATGCGTGCAAAAATACTTTATATATCATTTCTTATCTCAAAAATTACGACCAATATTTCAGAATGTATGGCGTAAATATTTTACTAAATTGAAATCAATTGAATGTACAAAATTAGTTAACAATGTATTAATAAAATATAAGTACGACGAAAAAAGGAATCATCGAGGAATTTCAGAGACTTTTAGAGATTTAAAAATAAATGATTACTGGACATCGATGAAAAAGGATATAAAAAAATATATAAATGAATGTGAAATATGCCAGATCAAAATATAATGGAAATACACATAAAGAACCTTTAATATTAACCCACACACCCTCCAAGCCCTTTGAGATAACACATATAGACACTTGATAAAGTTAGCAATAAATTTTTTTTTTAACAATTATAGATAAATTTTCCAAATATGGCTAAGTGTTACCATATTTTGGTACAGCGATATCAGCGGGTCAATAATAATTAGTACATTTCTTTTTATTTTTCGGAATACTGAAGCAAATTGTTGCAGACAGTGGCGGATAATTCAAAAATGACGTTGATCAATTACTAAAAACGCATCAAATAAAAATACATTTTACTACTCCATATCATCGCGAATCCAATTCCCCAGTAGAAAGATTCCATTCCACTTTAACTATGTACTTAGGATTACTAAAAGATAAAGATACAGATAATATTTCCATTATGTCTTATGCTCTTATTGTCTATAACTGTACTATACACTCAGCAACTGGACATATACCTTTCGAATTAGTATCAGGACATACACATCCCATGAGGCTTATTGCAGCACAAGCTTATACTCAGTAATACTCAAACCCTCTACACAAGTATAGAAGAAGAAAATCAAAAAATTAAAGAAAACATAATTGGAAAAAGAAATAAAGATAGGAACTCAAAGGATGCTTGTTTACGATCACAAGTATTTTCTTAGATTCTAATAAATATAGCTTAAGGCCTTTATTTTGGATGTGAATAATTTGAAAAACGCCATTAAAAGAATGGTTATGGTCTAAAAGGTAAAGTGCGTATGTAGAATCTGTTTTTCTATTGTTGAAAATACTTTTACGTTCTGCTATATGTTTGTTAAAAGTTATATCAGTTTGAACGATGTAAGTTATTGGGCAGTCGCCACATTTAAGTTTTTATACACCACTCTGTAAGTGCTTTTTCGTTTGGCTCTTGTTGTTTTTAATATATTTGCTTAAGTTGTCTCTTCTAAAAGCTGGTGTTATTGCTTTCTTTTTTATGTGTTTGTTTTTAGCAAACACATAAAAGAGAGCAAAAGTAGTCTAACCAACGTTTTCGTATATTACAGCATATATTGCTCTAGCAGGTTGATTGTGTGCATTATAGAAAATGACAAAAATTTAAAAACACGAATTGGCTAACCCACGTAGTTGTGGATTACACCAAAATTGTTCAGTACCTAATTACGTAAAAGAATGTAAGAGTAGTCCAACCATCATATTTGTGGAATAGGCCCGTAGACATTAAGATAGATATCAACCTTTGTTTATGAAAACCTTTAAGATTTCTAACGGTAGAGTAGATAGACCTTTACAAAAAAATTCCAAACTAGAGTTGCACACCAGGATGAAAGAGCACAAAGTAATTCGGCAAATAATAGAGGTGACGACAAAACTACCGAAGTGAAAGAATTCATTGATAAATTACCCACATACGAATTACATTATATCAGGCATAAAAGTAAACATATCAGTTATTTTGCACCAGATTTGAGTTTAGGACTCCTTTATAACGCTTACAAAAGAGAGGATTTTTACTCACTAGATATCAAAAAGAGAATAACTAGGAAAATACTTCAGCTATACCTATCATCTTTATCCTGGTGGACATCCACTAACCGAAGTAAAAAAATCTTTTGAAATTCCTTTTAATATATTGGATTTTACAATACATTATGGATTTTACACAAACACCAGAACAATAAGATACGCTTTACATCCAGAAGAAGAGTTCACAAGGAAGATTAAGTATTTTTGATACTTTGTGTTTTATTAAAATGTATTTTCAACATTGATCTGGTTTAATTGTATTGTATTGTTTTTTTACTAGCCAATGATTTGTAAACATTTGAAAACCTTTTGACAACATATTTTTCTTAATAAAATTTAAAAAAAAACGCATATAATCTTGGTTCATGCAAATCCATTATAATATTATTTGAGGTTAGACCACTATTGCTCTCACAGATTCAATTATAGCATAGTTGCTAACACTGGTGTTAAGCCAGATAGTTTTCACTACAATTAACATATAACATTATTTTAAACCATTATAGAAAATGAACAAAAATAACTCAACTAACTTCAACTATAAAATGATTTTTAACTGAGTGTCAATAAATTTTCACAATAACTATGTTTTAGTTTAATAAAAGATTTATTTTTCTAATTAAATCTTCAAGAAAAATAACAACTACTTACGATATTGAATTTTTTTTTACTTTTAATTTAGAGGTTAAATTTAGAACACATAATTCTAACAGATTGAACATTTCACCCTTTTTAAAAGTATTCCAAATCATAATATTCCACGAGGACATACCTTTTCCTTAGTCACTTTGCAAATTCCAATCTGGTCACAGACTTCGGTTGCATTCAGATGATCTACTAAGTATGTGTATACTTCGCCGTAATATTGGTCTACAAGCTCAACGCATTCTTCTGAAAATTTACCAGTTTGTTTGCAGAGACCTTCCAGTACTCGTTTAAATTCATCTTCGGTGGTATTAGCTACCAATAAATTTCTGAGATGGTCGACTAATTGTTCACAAAGTTGGCATGGAACGTCATCTTTAACATCTCTGAAAATAAAACAAGCGTTTTATTTACAAAAAAAAGTAAAAAAAATTATTGTCCAACATATATTCTAATCTAAATTTATATATGAGGAAGTAATAGTATAAAGTATAACAAAGATCTAGAAAATGTTTAAATTTGCTATAAGATGCAAGTAATGATTAAAATCTTCTATCTAAATAATATCAAAATCCAAGGAAGAAAACAACTGAACTGGCTGAGTGAGATTTGACAATGGATAGGTCGAACGATCAAGGAATTTGTTTCATCTAGCTGCCGACCGACAACAACCGACCAACGCTTGAAAACAAGCTCGGCACACAAAAAGAAGAAGTAGAATATACAACTGTCTGTAATAACTTTAAATTATTGTGATTTGACGCTAATTTGAGCCGCACATATACACATGGACAAAAAGTATGGAATATTTTGAAATTATCGTAATATGTTATGATGGGAAAGACCAAAACACTTTTCTGAAAAGAAAACTTTATATAATACGTTTTAGGCGAATAATTAAAAAAAAAATAAACGAATTGTAAACAAATATCTTTAAAAAATTAAACATTAAAAAAAATAAAACTATTAGGTATTGCCTAAGACGACCATTTTAAAGTTTTGTAAAAAAACAATAAAATTAATAGCTAGTCCTATTGACTATAACTGTCTTGGAATGCCCTGAATTAAATCTTGAGTATATGCTTGAGTAATTGAATGCCATTATTCTTTTGCTACAATCCTCAGCCCACTCTAGCCAGTGTCAGAGGAACACGATTACTTTTCAGAATGCATTTTAAAGCGTCCCATAAATGCTAGATAGGATTTAAACCAGGGCTACATGCTGGCCAATATAATCTTTCAAATTAAACCTTATTAAGGTAACTATTCACTATTGTAGCAAGAAGAGTCCGTGCGTTATCGAGCATGAGCACGAATTTGTCATATCCAATATGGCCGAAAAATAGCAAAGCATGATCTTCTAAAATGTTTTCAATGTAAATGCAGCTGTCATTTCCTAATCATCACCACAAGTTTGGTATGTCCTTCCCAAGCAATACCACCCCATAGTATTATTTCGCCACCATTAAAACTAAAGCTTTGTATGAGGTTATAACTCGCATACTAAAGTTTCGTCCATCTGGCTTCCATAAATGAATTCTGGTCTCATCTATGAACAAAATATTTTACCACTGCGCGATAGTCCGATTACCATGTGCTCTGTCAATTCTAGGTGCAGCTTGTTGGACAGGACGTCTTGGTTTTAGGTTAGTATCTTTTAACCTTCGTCTAACTGTTTTAGTGCTAACATTAAGCTATCTTGCATTTAGCAATCCGTTTTCAAGATGCGTAGGTAGATATCAATGAACAATTTCTTAAGTGCTGAAGAATTAAAAAGCAGTCGTCTGCGGCACTTGTACACTGTTTTCTTCCCTGTCCCAGTCTGCTTCTGAAATTTCTTGTTTCCTGATACCTTTTTAAAACTTTTGACATACACAGGGTTTTAACGTTTAGCTAAAGTATCTTATTGTAGAGCTCGGTTTTGTTTCACTTTCCTCGAAAAATATTTTCTTTTCTGTCAGCCATTTTCTCATGACGACTTCTTTCTAACGTGCGGTCAACAGTCACATTATGATATGAAGCCTATGCTGTTTATTACCAAAACTTACTTACATAAAACTGGATTGGGAAAAAGATTTTCAACAATTACTACGAGCTGTGCAGAATAGGCAAGATTTTGATGTAGTGATCGCAAATCTACAGTAATGGAGTGCACCAGAGGAAGAAAAAGATTACTTATGTAGATAACCGAGCAAACAAAAGAATTTGTATACAAAATTCAGACAAATTCAATTTTACAGTATCAGAGAAATCAAATGTCAGGTTAAACTCATGCACTTACCCCACGGGAACGTAGCCAATATGAGAATTTGGTGTAATTTCAACTCTAGCTCTGTGAGCATGGAACTGAGCACTACATTCTCCAGAGAAGAGACAAACTTCCTCGGAATTCAAATGTTGTTGAAGGTGGTTGTATATTTCGGTGAAATAAGTGATAACGAGGTTACTGCATCCATCCGAAAAACTGCTGAATTTACCACAGAACTGAAACAAGCAAATACTGTTTAGATAATAATACAGATGTCAAAAATTAAAACAAAACATAGAAAGTCCACTATTTCACAAGTAAGTTGATATATGTTTTTAATAGTACTACACTAAAATTCAATAAGCTATGAGGAGACGTACACATTAGCAGATATAGGCCTCTAACAGTATCGCATTTAGGATTATCTTTTCGTTTGGCGAGAAGTATTATCTCGCAAAATACGAAATTTACATTTAATTTTGCAAAAATGCGAGACAAAGAACCTGATTTTTTTAGTTAAAAAGCCAAGATTTTTTTTTATCTCAAAAACGTCCAACAAATTTTATATACGGCGTTTTAAAATATATTTTAAAGTTTTATTTATAACTTTTGTTATAGTTGTTTGTATGATTCCAAAAAGTTTAAATATTTCAAAACGGTGAGTTTTTGGAATAAAAATACAAAGTGATTCAAAATTCGTTTGAATTGCTTATTAAAATGTAGTATAAATTTTCGATAAATATGTCAAATATATATTATACAAAAATAATACTCACATTTAAGAGTCCATGCAGGAATTCATCCCTCGACATCTTGTTAAATTTGTTGTCCAAAATATCAACCACTTCGTGACACCCTTTGCATTTATCTACTTTACCTGGTATTACTTCAGGTGTTGGTTCTTCATCAGCTTCTTCTAGTAATTTTTTAACTCTATCGTTGTTGCAAAGTCCAGCTACAGAGCAGACGACTTGGGGATTCATTTGAGATGCCAAAGTATCGATCAAATCGGGAATATAATCGTCGGCAATTTTGTCACATTCTTTTACAATGTGTTTGACATGAAGCAAGGCACAGGAGCCTTCAAAAACTTCTTTAATCAATTCCTATAAAAAAAATAACATATGCGTATATAAAATAAATAGGTATTATGATTAAATTAGGAATATTTGTACAATAAGTTTTGTGGATTGAAATTATATGAATTTTTTAATTAAATACAATTGTAATACTGGAAATACTTTATTGATGTTTTGACTTCCAAGTCGGAAGTTAAAAAAACTGCTACGACTTGGAGGTCGAAGAAAACCTTCCTACAGGCGCGAGTATGTGGTACATATGTCACCTACAGTTCAACCTTGTATTTGTAAATTTGAGGGAGTGGTGGCTCGTGCTTTTGTCTATTTGTCTATTTTAGTTATACTAATTCGTTGTCAAATTATTTCGCTTGAGGTCAGTGTATTCAAGTAGTTAACCTCTATCGTATGCGGTACATACGTGCGACCTTTTATGGAACTTTTTACTTTTATTGTTTGAAATGATATTACTACGAGCATATTATAAATTTAACTTATTTCACACGTTTAATGCAATAATTACAAAAATGTTCTTTTTTAGGAATAGAGTACCAGAAAAAATTATTTTAAATTCGATAATCCAGAAGATTCACTTCGATAATCCACTTCGAGTGAAAAAGAAAATTTTATAGTCGACAATGACATAGATACAGTTAAGACTATGCAGGAATGCGAAGGGGATTTTAAATAAGAATAAAATGTAATAGAATCTAGGGATGAAGATGAGAGTGAAACTTACAATATTGGCTTTATGAAGTCGCTGATTAGAATGAGATTTTATTATTCGGCAATAATTTGCAGGTGATGAATACGGATACAAAAATGGCTTCAATAAAGCAAAACTGGTTCCCCATCAAAGAAAAAAGGTTTATAATACAACGTTTAGAAGCTGGCGAGTCAAATGTAAGGATTGCTAAGGAATTCGGTCTAAATTATTCGACAATATCCACAATTAAGAAAATTAAACCCAATATAGAAACTTTACTCAATGCGAATGCTTTAAAACCCAAAACGTGTGAGAGTGTCGTCTGACACAGCTGACTGTGCGCTTTTAGAGCGGTGTAATCCTTTAAACCAGGGAATATCTGTAAATCGGCCTATACTTCAAAAAAGGCACATTTTTTTGCCAAAGAGCTCAACATTCTTAAGTCTGATTCAGTGGCGGCAGTAATTGTTAAGAGAGGGGGCCAATAGGCTAAATAAGTTTATATTGTATCTACTTAATTTATAATAGCGTATTAATAATGAATAAAAAATTTAAAAAATAATATTTATTTGATAAGTTCGTAAAAAGAATTACAATATTAAATCTAAACGATCTGTTTTTGTATGCGCTTAGTGATGGACGACTTTATCTAGATCAATATAAATATCATAACGAATATTCATCAATGCCAAGCCAACTTGTTTAGCCATAGTTCACCGTAGTAAAGTTTTATCTTTTATTAAAGTAGATGTTTTTACGCACTAGAACATTCAAAGGTTCATCACAAAACTCTTAATAGTTTTACACTATTAATAAGAAATGTTTTGTTCTCTTTGCCAATTTGCTTCCCACAATTCAAATTCTGCTCTTGAGTTTTATATCATCATCAATCAGCCAATCGCGTCCACTGCTGGACATAGGCCTCCCTAAGTTCTTTCCAGTGTTCTCTACACTGGGCCGCTTGTAGCCAGTTTCCCGCTACACGTTTAATGTCATCGGTCCATCTAGTCGGTGGTCGTCCTCGGCTTCTTTTATAATTTCTGGGCCTCCATTCCATAATACGTCTTGTCCACCGTCCATCTTGTGTTCTGGCTAAGTGCCCTGCCCAGTTCCACTTAAGCGTCGTGGTTCTTTCGATGACGTCTTGATCTCCTGATCTTCGCCTGATTTGTTGGTTTGTTATGTGGTCTCAAAGGCTCACGTTCAGCATTGCACGTTCCATGGCTCGTTGTGTAACTCTAAGTTTATTCGCAGATTTTTGCGTGAGTGTTAAAGTCTCTGCTCCATAAGTTTGTACAGGTAAAACACATTGGTTATAAACCTTTCGCTTGAGACACATGGGAATTGAACTTTTTAGAATATGGCTTAATTTGCCAAATGCTGCCCATGTTAGACCTATTCGCCTCTGTATTTCATGTGTTTGATTGTCTCTGCTTATTTTGATTTCGTGTCCCAGATATTTGTAAGTGTCTGTTTGTTGTATGGTATTATTGTCAATAGTTATATTTCCACTCATTACGAGATTTGTTATAATTTTAGTTTTCTCAAAGTTTATCTTTAATCCTGCTCTTTCAGACAGACTTTTAAGCGAATGCATCATAGAAACTGTATCATGTAAGTTATCTGCGATTAATACAACATCATCTGCAAACCTTAGGTGATTTAATCTTTCTCCATCTATATTGATGCCCATATCTTGCCATTGAGTACCCTTAAATATTGACTCTAGAGCTGCCGTGAACAATTTTGGTGAAATATTGTCTCCTTGTCTAACCCCTCGACCTAAGCTGAGTTTTATATACGGAAGCTAAATTTTCATTGAAAAAAACACAATATTTATCAGCAACAATATGAGCAGCATTTGCTATTGACTCTTCGTCAGATTTTTGTATAACTCAGGAAATAAAATTGAGAACCTGTATAAATTTAACGTTTCTTCAGGACAGCAATATTTTAAATATTTGATATTATTAAATATCGGAATGTATATAATATCGTCTAAAATAGTCTTGACGATTTTCCCAGGGATAATTTGTTCGATTTAACTGTTTTTGCACTAGTCAAGGAAGTTTTATTTCGATAACGAGTTCATCCTATTCATCCTATCATTCATTTACGGGAGGCCTATGTTCAGCAGTGGACGCAAAATGGCTAATGATGATGATGATGAACGAGTTCATCCGCAATGCTACAAATTTTATAATATTATAACTTGAAAACATTTTTCTCGCTTCGTCAAATCTTCAAAACATCATTAAATGCTGATCACGTGCTAATTTTATATCCATTTTTGATTAAAAAAAGTGACTTAATGGCAAAATGCAAGAAAGTACTACTGTTAAGCAGATAGTCTTCACAAGATAGCAAGATAGATTTAATATTTTTGCCTTTACAGCAGTCAGTAGCATGAATATATAGCATAAGGCATTCTTGAATTTTTGGCAGAGGTTTTCGACATTGAAAAATTCCGTTGTGACATTCAACCCATCTCGTCTCGCACAAACCAATAAGCTGATGTACCATCAAGCTGATGTAAAAATGATGTACCATCATTTTTAAGAACTGCATTGTGTTTTGATGAAGTTTAAAAAAAAGAAATTACTTCTCTCATCGTTCCAAATGCATTTCATACATAAAAGTGATGAAGATCTGCCAATTGAAGGATATAAAATATGATGAAGCATGGTGAATAAACAGCATTAATAGCTTCATTTTTGAAGGTAGTTATTGCACCAATAGTTTCAGAAATCATTACAGAGCAGCCATGTGTAGTTGTGCCTACGCAATACTTAACATCTAAAGTTGCTTTTTTCTAAGTTTCCAATACAACTTGCGCTAAATTTAAAAAAAATTTAATCACTTGGTTTAAGAGGGGCCGATCGGCCCCATCGCCCTTCCTTGGATACACCTATGGGCTGATTGTTGAGTAAAGTTGGATTAACCGTTTAAAGAGTTAAATAGAGCGATGTGACCGAATGGCAAACCAAAGTTTGGCCTAAGTTGCGTACAAAATTTAGTAACGACGAAATATTTCATGTTGACGAAACTGGGTTATTCTATAAATTAACGCTAGGTAAAATATTAAAATTGATAAGTGAAAAATACTCGGCAGGAAAACTTTTGAAAGACAGAATAACTGTGATGGTTGCAGCTAACAATTATCGGCAAGTCAAAGAACCCAATATATTTTAAAAATTTACGATCTTTGCCGGTAGACTACGAGAGCAATCGCAGGATCTTGATGCTATCTGATATTTTTATCAAATGGATACGCGATTGAGATCGTGAACTGACTAAAAAGAAGAAAAAGATTGAGGAGCGTAACTCTGATTTCCCCGGCTCCTAATAAATATCCAAAATTGCAACCAAAGAACCAAGGAATAATTCGAGTGTTAAAATCAAATTTTCTTAAAAACCTGGTTCTAAAAATTCTCATCAGTCTTAATGTACATGAAGACACCAGTGTCAAGCAGCTGAAAATCACAATACTGGACGTCTTTCTACTAATTTACAACACTTGGGACAAGCTTACATCAGCGAAGATTTTCAACTGTTACAAACACGCTGGATTTATTCGACATAGTCCCAGTGTCCCAGTGGCTGCCGACAATGGTTATCATGATGATCATGTGTCTGTCTGGGCGAGAGCTCTGAATAAACGATTACCCATAGGAAATGAAGAACTTAAACAATATTCTGCTGTTGATGATGATCTCGTAAAGTGTGAGGAGCCTAATTGCGAAAATATTAACTTCTACATCGAAGATAGCGACGATAAGAACTACCTAGAAGAAAATTGTACCACTTTGAGTGTACATGAAGTTCTTAAAGCTGCAGATGTGCTAAATATGTTTGTGCATTCTAATTTTAATGATGACACTATGAAAAGTGTCCATTTTCATAGTCCTATGTTCCATGTTCCATTTTCATAATATTTACTATAAAAATGAAAAACAGTCCAAAATGCCTTCAGAATGACTTCCGGTTAGTACGACGCAATATCACCGGTCCCTTAGTCGATTTTGCTATACTTCTTGTTCTTTTGATGTTAGCTTTATGATATTTTTGTATAATGAAAATCAAATATAGTAATTGCCTTCTTAGTTCCGTTTATATTTGATATTGTAACGAAATTGTGAAACCGACAAAGTTGTTTCAGATTAGATTGTAAAAAAAAGTTAATAAATCATAAAACTTCTCAAAAGTGAATCCTAAAAAGATAATTTTGTGTTTTTTTAATACTAACCTGTGTTTCATTACTCTCCAGCTGATCCCGCGCCTGTTTTACCATATCCAAACAAATTTGACAGACGCTGCTGCCATCTGGTGGCAACGTCTGATGAATCCAAACGGTCTGAATGCAGTGTTTAGTGGCATGGCAGTCAGCAGCAGTACTATAAAATAAAAATAAGTCATTTAGTAATAAAAGCCAATTTTCAAAAGTGATATTAGAACAAAAATAAATAACCTCAGACACAACAAAACTACACATTCTAAATATATCCTACCAATGATCTGCTATATATTAAAAATTGATTTTGAGTTTTTCAGATTTTTTATTTTCACTTTTCACAAAACAGTCTGACAAAACCTGAATCAAATGTTTTTGTGAATTAAGGAATACCTTATATCTTCGATATTATAGTAAGAAATTATAGTTATATTCGGTTCACCAAATAGTCTCAACAGTCTTAGTAAATTTGGTAATAATTTTAATAGTCTCAACAGTATTCATAAATTTTGTCTATTTGTAGAACACGTTTTAATGTAATTAGTCCCGCAGCTGACCTTTCTGTATGCATGGAAGAGTGGATAGTTGAAAACTATTCTATCTTTTGTAAAATTTTTCGCTGAATACGAATATGTAGGTCACTATCTCAAAAAGTAGTACCAATTTTTATAAACAATTTTTTTATAAGTAAATTTTCAAATCGACACACAAGTCGAGAAATCGACTTAACATGTGAGATTAGCCTAAATCGAAAGATTTAGTGTACACCTACATTGGAACCGTATTTCTCCCGATCCGATATCGAGCAACATCGACCGACGTCGGATTGAAAACAAACTCAAGGTATTAAATCATAGTGCCTATACTGCTTCCATTACGAAGCAGTATAGGCACTCTGATTTAATACCTTGAGTTTGTTTTTAATCCGACGTCGACCGATGTCGCCAGATATCGGATCGGGAGAAATACGGTTCCAATGTAGGTGTACACTAAGGCTAATCATACATTATTTTGAGGACTCAAATAATTTTGGAGTCCTTATAACTTTCTACATGGTGAATATTTCTATACACTGCTGTACATAAATAGAAAGTTTGAACTATTTTGACAATTTACTATTGAAAAAAATTTGATATCACGGTTGTAAGGGGTATATTGGCATTAAAAACACCACGACTACCAGACGGGTTGGTGAGTGTTCGCAGTATCACAAATCAACTTGATTGCCGCCTGCGACTTTATGGTACCGCACCTGTCAGGAATTATATTCCTCAGCCACGGGCCACTAATGACACAGCTGCTGACAAGTGTCAAACAAAATTACACATTGGGGGCCAAGAGCAGACAAACGTACTAGAGAGGAAGACCAATTACTACACGTTGGGCTGACGACATCAGGCGTATCACGAAAATTGGCAATAAAGAGCACAAAATCGCAAAGAATTGAGGACTTTAAAGAAGGCATATGTCCAGCAGTGGAAGTAATAAATGAAGGCTGGATGATAATGATGCCTATTGAAAAAAAAAGATGGAAGAAACTTTCTTTTTCATTGAGTTAACAAGCACCAAGCAAATAGCATTTCGCCCTTGCAGAATCAACAAGCACACTGCGGGCAAGTATGTTTTCGACATTAGGCATGCATCGAGCGGTTATTGAAATTTTAAAATAGCTACTATTTAGCACGGACAATGTCAACACGTACCAGCCCACCGTGTTCTTGTTGATTCTGCTAGGAAAAGCTATTTGTTTATTGCTGGTTAACGCAATGAAAAAGAAAGTTGCTTTCGTTTTTTTTTCAATAGTAAATTGCAAAAATAGGTTTAAACTTTCCGATTTATGTGCAGCTTTTAGAGAAATGAGCACTCAAAGTGGGACCAAATCTTTAGATTTCTTGACTTAAATTTTTAATAACTTAAACTATAAATTATTTATATAACATACCGTGGGTGATAAAATTATTAGAATCACCTAGTAAAATTCGACGTTTTTTACAAAAAATGTATATAATTGAGCTGTATAATATATTAATGCGTTTCTTTTCATTTGATTATTTTGGAACGCTGTATGAAAGTACAATCAATAGTCCGGCAGCAGTGGCAACACAGTGGGCATGGCAATACGTAACTCAGATGCCACTGTTTGTCAGTGTTGTCCACTGTCCAGCCTAGCTTGCAACTCGTGTGTATATTATTTTGTATTCTTATTGACTGACAATTTACTGATTAATTCTGACAATCGTATATTATTTTTTGTAAATTTAGCAAACATTGCATGTTCGTTACACCAGTGGTAATGTGGTCGAAAAGAAAAATCAACACCATGAGATGAAAGAAAAATGCGAGATATCCTCTTGACAAACAGAAAACAACCCCGAACGATTTTAACGAAAATGATGCAAGAGTCTGACATCAATATTTCACCAATGACAGCTCGTCGGCGGATACAGGATCTTGGGTTTTCAACCTATCGCTGTGAAAAAAGGCGCTATTCACACAAGCCATAAAGAAAAAATAGCTTCAATTGTCTTGATTACAAGACGTACACTATAGTTTATTTTTATGAACGAGAGTAATTAGCATAATTTTAACTGGTGCCTTCGACCACTCCATGGGCATGCTCAAGATTAATTGAAAAATTACTTTGAATAATTGTAAAAAATAAATGAATTATTTTAGTGTTATAAAGTGTTATGTGTATGTAAACAAAAGTGACCTCTTTAATCACACACTATATTAGAACTGACTGGCCTACATTAAAAAGGGTTTTAAAAAATTCACATTTTTTTTAATTTTTAAAAATTACAAAAGAGAAAAAGAGTTTTTAAAACCGTCTAAGGTATGTTAAATAGATGAATAAAAATATTAATATAAAACTTACAGCTACTTGTTACAAATCCAAATCAGATTCAGAAGATGAACTTTCAGAACCAAGATTTATAATAACTGGCTCGATCATTTCATCAGTAATATTGTCCAGCTTCAAAATTTTTTCTCTTTTTTAATAGTGTGATTTACTGCCTTTTCCCAGTTTTCAGGTTTTACATTATTTACGGCCTCCAAAAACAACTGTTTAACATCATGAATTTTAAAAGTGGTATTTTTTCTTGAAACTTCACTCTTTATCTGTGCCCATACCAGTTCAATCGGGTTTAATTCACAATGATATGGTGGGGATCTAAGTACTGTCATTCCACGATTTTTGGCAATTTCATCAATTTCGTATTTTTAAAATTTTTCTTTATGAAGGGCACACAACGAATAAAGTTCCTTTCTTATAGATCCGGGATGGTACGTAATATATTTTTAACTCAGCCAATTCTGCAAGTCTTTTTTTAACCACTTGGTTGTGGACAGTCCTTCTATAAGTCTGGAGTGATAACTTGCATTATCCATTACTATTACACAGTTCTTAGGAAGAAGATCTATCATTTGTTCGAACCATTCTTGAAAGACTTCAGCGTTCATGTCTTCATGGTAGTCACCGGTACGAGTTGATTAAAAAGTTAATAAACCACCTTCAACAAAACCGTCTGAACTGCCAATGTCTACTATTATCATCCTGCGTCCCTTTCCTGATGGTGGGTTTAAACCAGTAGATAAGTTATTTACAAAAGCGTGCCTTTGACTTGTAACAGTTTCATCCTGCCAAAATTTATTTTTTGTATGACCCTCGTTGATCTATGTTTCATCAAGATAAAATATTTTTCTTTTTTGGTTTCTCATTTCCTTTATGGTTCTTATAAAATGTCTTCTCCATATGACAATATCGCTTCTTTCTAATAAAATAGACTTTCTGGGATTCTTTTTCCAGCGGAAGCCTATTTCTTTTAAAAGTTTCCATAACGTACTTCGACTCATTTCTGGGTAATCCTTATCATCTCGAACTGAGACAAGACCTTTATCCAATGTTGGAAATTCTTGTCTAAAGAAGAATTCATGCACTTTCCGTCGAAGTCCTTCTTTAAAATAATATTCTATTTGAAATTTTGGTTTCCCTGGAGCATTACGTGGCATTTGAAAACTACCACATTTCTCTTCTTTAATAACCCTGTACATCGTAGATTTCCCAACACCAAGTGTACTGCTAACTAACTCAACAGTCTCATCAACACTTTCACATAAACGTTTGTCTGTAAATGATTTAAAACAATTAAATATTAATGTTTTTTCATTAACTGTTAAAGGACCAATTTTTCGGCGTTTACACGGCACTTCCAAATTTTCCATAACACTAGTATACACAATAAACTGCACCTTGCAACTGAAGTACCTACTTTTAGTGAACTGTTAAGAATTTTGAATACGCCCCTTGCACCTTCCTACAAAATGGAAAAACCCACTATCACATTTTCTGTGGAATAAGTTTAGAAGGTAATTATCTAGTCAATTACTGTCGTAGATTCCTGGAATTAAAGAATTAAATGTTTGATTGTTGAAACCCTTACTTCGTGCAATGCACTCATTTCAGATAAAATAAAACGTTTTATTTTATCTAAAGAATTAAACTTTATTTTGCAAATAGGTAGGTACTTATTAAACTTTTATTGGTTATATATAACCATTAAAATAAACATCTTACATTTCTTGCAAATTCATTAGTACCTGTTAACCTCCATCACTCCGACACTGACAACCTTATTTAGGGATTAGTAACCCTCACAACTATTGTATTCTATTCTGCTCCAACCTTTATACCTGGTGGTCATACTCAATTTAAAATTGTTTTCCTATATACTTCTGTAAACTTGTTGACAAATATCTGTTTTTCATTGAGTCACCCGTATCAACAGTTTAGGGATTTGCATACATAATTTATTGTTTTATTACTCTCTTATACATAAAAATACACTATAACAGAAAATAAGTCTTCTCTGCCTTGTTTTCTTTTATTTCTAGACTCTTATGTGTATGCAATGGTTTTAGTACCAGGCCTCGCTTGCCTGGTACTACTACTTCTTCTATTCTGCTGCATTATCATTTCGCTCACGTGTTCGTTTTTTCCTCACTCATTTATTTCTTTTGTCTCACGTTCCGTTTACATTTTTCATTTTTTCTGTTATTAAAGTTTTCCTACTATTTTCCGAAAATTTTTGATCTAAATTGCGGCTAGACATTCATTTTGTACTTTAAAAATCCTGATTGTAAAGCAGCAGGTATACGAAA